GGCGGCGCAGTTCCTGCGGCCCAGGCAGCGCCGCGCATACCAGGTCTTCGAGGAGGCCAAGCAGGGCCACCTGGAGAGGGAATGCGTCGAGGAGCTGTGCAGCAAGGAGGAGGCCCGGGAGGTGTTCGAGAACGACCCCGAGACGGTGAGCGGGGGGCCGGGCGCGGGCGCCGGCGGGGGAGGTGAGGAATGGGGAGGTGTGCCTCTGGCGCTCCGGGATTCCACGACTGGGCGGGACTGGGACCGAGGCGCGGAGCATTAAAGCGGCCAGGTCACCGCGAGTGCTGTCCCCGCAGCACCGCATTTCTGCGAACATGCGTCCGTGCGCGCCCTTGTAGGGAGTCCCAGAGTTCCGCAGACTTCCCTTTACTGAGTCTGAGATGCGTCTCCTTCACGTGGGGTGACCATGCTGCAAGTCACGCCCAGAACTCTTCAATACGGAGATACTGCGTTTGGGAATGGTGAAAGGCCAGGAATATGGGGTATCTGGACCCTGGCTCACCCTCAAGCCTCCTCCACACCTTTTGAGCCCCAATTCTCTAGGTGACCCCCAGGCGCTCCTATTAGCTGGAGGCAGAAACAGATCTTTGAGCAGGGGTCCTGTTGAGACCCTGCAGCTCTCTTCTTCAGTAGACTTCCGAAGGAGCCACCTTAAAGGAAATATGCAACCTAGGACACCTCCACCAGAATAAACCAGAGGCTGTAAAATGTAAAAGAAATACCATAGTTAAAAACAAACAGCTTCCTACCTCTCCTCTCCCTTAACTGGATGGGAGGAGTAGAGCTGCCCACAGCTTCTTGGTCCTCATGAAGAGGAGGAGAGGGTTTGCCTGAAAGAGGAATTAAAAGATGTGCGGGCTGGGTCCTGGTCAGTGTTGCTCAGTTGGTTGAGTGTTGTGCTGTGCACTGAAAGGTCACTGGTCTGCTTCCTGCTCAGGGCACATGCCCAGGTTGCAGGCTTGATCCCCAGTAGGGACGCATGTGGAGCCAGGCTATTTCACATTGATGTTTCTGTCTCTCTCTCCCTCTCACTTCTTCTCTCTCTAAAATCAATTATATATATATATATAGAGAGAGAGAGAGAGAGAGAGAGAGAAAGAGAGAGAGAGAGAGGGAGAGAGAGAGAGAGAGAGAGAGAGAGAGAGAGAGACTGGAATGACTTGTAGCAGTAGGTCCCAAAATATGATTACAGGAATAGTGCTAGAATATATATGGAGGGGGGTACCTGTAAGGGGGCACAAGGTCAGGGGGCCTCAGGGTGGAAGTTAGGAAAGGGCCTCAGTGCGTGCGCGCGAACACACACACACACACACACACACACACACACACAACACACACACACACACCACACACACACACACACGCACACACACGCACACACACGCCAGCCCTTTTCAGCAAGGTGTTCTTTTAGAAACAGCTGGTGATTTCAGAAGCCTGATGGTACTGGCTTAGGACATATTTCTATTAATAATGTCCTTGGAGACTGTAGGACGCCAGACAGCCAAGTGCAGGCAGGGAGCAGCCCAGGTGTGGGCTTGGCATCTGTGCAGGAGCTGTGCGATCTTAAGGGGAGGAGATGTGCAAGAGCGTTCATGGTGGTATGACCTGTGGGACCCGTGAAAGCCCTAGATGTCTATCTGTTCCCGGGTAAGTGACTTTGGGAAGTAGTCGTGAAAAAAACGGGGTGGACTTACATTACTTCACTTCATGCTGTGAGGTCAGGGTGATTTCACAGCTGGTTTTGGTTCTACCAGCTTTTTTCTTTTAAAGAATCCTCTGGAATGAAATAAATGTCTCATGCAATAAACGAAAGGCTCTGTGTGACCAATGCAGTCTTCTTTTGGACTTGTCTTTCTGATCAGTTGACTTGACCATCCCTTCTAGGTCACCTTTCTGAAAACAAGCTCTAAAATGATTGACCGCCACTATGTGGTTCTCTCTGGCACCATTAGCTGTTGCCTCTGCTGCGCTATGATAGGGTTATTTTCTCCAGTGTTACTGCCTTCAGTGTCAACACAGTTTCAATCCTGTCCTAAGGAGCAGTTTTGCAGGGTCTGTTCTGGCCTCACTGTTTTCCCTTTTCTTTGATGATAAATCCTAGTAGCCCAGTGACTCATGCCTCTGCAGAGGCTTTCTGAAGGTCCTAGTAGCAGGGCTGTGTGCCTGGCCACCCAAGATCCCTGCCCAGCTGTGAGATTGTGTGACAGGTGCAGTGTTCTCCATCCACATGCCTAGCCTGGAATATTTATTCTGCTGAAAGTGTTGTCTGGTTTTGGCCCTTGGCTTGTATTCCTTTTCCTTGAGAGGCAGTGTGGAATGCTGGGAGGAGCTGGGTTAGGGTTAAGGGTCAGGAGTCAGGGTTAGGAGTTAGGGGCTGATTTGAGTCCCAGCTGTTCTGGTAGACCAGTTGTCCACTTGGATGTGTCCAGGTTTCCCACTCCATCTCCCTGGCAGTGGTGAGATCCTCCAAACACTACTCACTGCTAATGTATTTTAGTAAATATAACTGTTGAAAAAGGTAGTCCTATGAGTTCCCCTGCTCCAAAAAGTTTAGGGCTCTCACTAGGAAATATTTATTCCTTGCATGCAAAGGTAGCTCATTTTGCATTTTTTGATTGAGGCTGATGGAGTGACCCAGGATGATGAGCACCGGCCTTATTTAGTTTAAGAAGTCCCCTGGACCTGGCCATGTGACTGTCACAGGACCTCCAGGGCCATAGTATCCTGATGTGAAAGGCTATCCCAGAATTGGCACTTCTTGGGTTGTAATCACCTGACCCTCTGATGGGTGTGCTTATAGGCAGTGCCAGTCCTGAGAGGCCAGGGTCACCTTAGTGGCTGATTCCACCTGCCCTACCTTGCTGTCTGCTGGGTTAGGATGCTGGAAGCAGCCTGCCTGTCCACAGTGTGTCTGGCTCCATTGTAATCACACCTGCCCAATTTGGGTTCTGCCTTTGGTGGAGTTTGCAATACTGCTCTTTCCTGCTGGCTGAGAAGGCAGTGCTGCGTGTTCCGTTCCCATTCCTGGGCCTCTGGGGACACCTTGGTAGAGGAAGCCTCCAGGAGGGACAGGGGAAGCTGGGGGTGGGGTGAGGTAGACTTGGGCCCCTGGAGCCAGCTCTCTGGGCTGCAAACCCTCTTCCCCTGAGCTCAGAGGTTTGTGCTTGTTGAGCGTGTGCTGTGCGCTGGATGTGCTCTAGGTCTTCCTCTCTGATCTGAATCTTTCCAGACTGGGCTGTTTTCCTCTTTTGGACGAGGGAAGGAGTCTGACCTTCAAAGTTCTTCTTGCCCTAGCTGTTTTGGCTCAGTGGATAGAGCATCAGCCTGAGGACTGAAGGGTCCCAGGTTCAATTCCGGTCAAGGGCACATGCCTGGGGGTTGTGGGTTTGATCCCCAGTAGGGGGCATGCAGGAGGCAGCCAATCAATGATCTTCTCTCATCATTGATGTTTTTATCTCTCTTTCCCTCTCCCTTCCTCTCTGAAATCAATCAATCAAAAATATTTTAATCTTGCCCTAACCGGTTTGGCTCAGCGGATATAGAGCGTCGGCCTGCGGACTCAAGGGTCCCAGGTTCGATTCCGGTCAAGGGCATGTACCTTGGTTGCGGGCACGTCCCCGGTGGGGAGTGTGCAGGAGGCAGCTGATCGATGTTTCTAACTCTCTATCCCTCTCCCTTCATCTCTGTAAAAATCAATAAAATATATTTTTAAAAAAATATTTTAATCTTAAAGCTCTTCTTTAGCAAGTAGCTGTTAGTGTCATGGCTCTTCCTGATTCCTGGGGCTATCACATACCTGGGTGCAAAGGAAGGGACTCTCAGGCATTCTGGTCACCTGCTTCCCTCCTGGGGGCAAACTGTCTCCTACCCACATTCTTTCTGGCCCCAGGAGAGTGGCCCAGGGCCCAAGAGAGTGGCCCAGGCCACCGTTGTTGCCACTGCTAATCATGTTTCTCCTCTCCAGAGCCCAAGGGGTGATTACATTCCCTCCTTATCTTGTTTCCTTTGGTGTTGTTATTCTCTGTTCCTGGCATTTCCCTCTCCCTTGCTTTTCCTGTTCTAGGGCCCTGTGTAGTCCATCCCCCAGCTGTCTCCATGGGGGTTCTCCTGAATTCTTCTGAAAGGTCACCCAGGCCAGCCCCGCAGGTCATCTTTCTACGTAAATCCTTTAAGGCAGGTGGGTTCTGGACGCCTTAAAGACACCATCTCAGTAATCACCCTCTGCTTTCTGAAAGGATTCTGGACAAAAGGCTTACCCGCCCGCCCT